GCTACAGTGGGAGTTGTGCCCCTTCCTTACTCAAAACCCTCAAATTTCTCCCGATCTCTCCCAGAATAAACACCAGAGACCTTGCAAGAGCTCTGGGACCTTCCTTCCTGCCCCCATTTGCTGCTCCTCTCTTCCCTCATCCACTCCAGCCTTCCTGCTAGGCATGCTCCCACCCGGGGCCTTTGTGCTTCCTTTTTCTCTGCCTAGAACATTCTCCTTCATGACGCTGCTGCCCCACCCTCCTTTCCGTCTTTGCTCAGTGGAGTCCTTCGGACTGTCTCACCACCCCAAATCCTCTTCTCTTGGCACTCTCCACCCCCTTCCCTCATTTCATTTTTTTCTACTGCATTGCCACCTTCTACCAACTTACGCAATTTGCTTTTTAAAACATTGCTTATTACCTGTTTCTCCCAACTAGAATATAAACACCCAGGTGCACAGATTTTTATATGTTGTTCCTGTTGAGTCTCAGTGACTAGACTGGTAGGTGCTCACAACACATGCGTGTACTGCATGGCCACAGGCAAAGCAGGACTGACGGGGATGAGAGTACCTGGGAAGCATTCAGTGTGAAATCTGATTCTAGTTATGGAGATTGACTTCCTACACCCGGTTTTACATCAGTTTTAAAATTTTTGTGCAATGCCTCAAAGGCCGGTAAGAAGACATGCTGTGAGAGAAAGGCTCTTTGTCAAGTTGGCAGCGTGGCGTGGCCATAGTAAACCCGAGGGCCCCAAGGGCAAGGTGGCTAATGTGGCTATTTATAGCTAAGATTCCAGTATATGTTTTCCAGCCACACTTACTCCTTACAGCCTCCCCTGTATGCTCAAGTCTGTCAATTAGCTAATGGTTTCTTTAGTTCCATTATGCATTGTAAGGCTCCTCTGGCTCAGGTATTATTTTTTAAAGAGAATAATGGGGTGTTCTGTTCTCAGAGGTATAATTTCTTACTAGCCTTGCCTATTAAAAAAAATCCTGTTTCCAAATTTTTATTATGCAGTTTTCAAACATAATAAAAGAATTGCAAGAGTTGCACAGCGAACACCTACGTGGCATCCATCTAGCTCCAACACTTGTTAACAGTATGCCGCATTTGTTTTATCTACATGTGTGAGCCTGTGAGCATCTGCATGTTTTTTTTCCTGAACCATTTGAAGGTCAGTTGCAGATACCATGACACTTTTCTCCTAAAAATTTCTTCCTATTCCTCTATAAAACTATTTGAGAATAAGTGCAGATATCATCATAATCTTCTCTTGTAGCTCTTAAGAATTGGAACGTTCATCTATAAAACCATAATACTATTCCTGATCCTAAGAACATTGACAGTAATCTCAACATCATTTAATATCCCATCTGGATGCACATTTCTCCAGTTGTCCCAAGAATATTTTTTTCAAGCAAGATTTCATCAAAATTTATGCATGGCATTTGGTGGTTCTGATTCTTGAAGTTCAGAAAAGTCTTCTTTTCCATCCCCCTTTTTAAAAAAAGGAAATGTATTTAATGACATTGCCTTTTTGAAGAGTCCAGGACCATTACCGTATATATATGTCATATTCTGGGTTAGTCTGATGGCTTTCTCATGGTATCACTGGTTGTTTCTCCATCCCTGTATTTCTTGTCAACTGAGGAGGAGATTTAGAGCTTGACTGGATTCAAGCTATATGCTTTTAGCAAGAAGACTTTAAAAGCAACAGTGTGTACTTGATACTGCATCATGTCCCAAGGCATAGGGGGTGTTGGGTTGTCTCATTCTTAGGGACACTCATTTTGATTATTTGGTTACGACGGTGATGGCCAGAGGTCTCTCTGACTCTCTGTCTTTTCAGTAAATAGAACAGTGGAGGGTTATGGTGTTGAAAGTTCAGTTTAAAGAGAAAAGACCTCCCCACTCACTGGCTTTTTTGAAGGTAAATTGTCTCAAAGAGTTGCAAGGTGTTGTGAGCCTTTGAGTATACAGTGAGTCTGCTGGACATGATTAGTGGGTAAACTAGAAAGAAGAGCTAAGTTGGAGCCTTGAGAGGAGACCACAGAGGGAAAAGTGCAGGTTATGCCACTGGCTTCTATCAGAGGACCATGGCAGTGGGACTGTCAGGCGGTTAAAATTGACAGCAAGAGGCCTTGGGTTTCTCTACCTTCCTATCGAACATTATCATCCCTCCAGAAAGGAGGGGAAGACATGCCCTCACTCCACAGGTAGCATGATGGCCTTTGAGATGTCAAGAACGAACCAAGGAACCCTGCTAGAATGCTTGTCCTAGTAGGTTCCCCGCAGTGGTGTACTGAATCCCAAAGACTGGGTCATCTTTAGGAAGTGTCCTGGAGACAGGACAGGAGGGCTGTTTGTTATTGTGATGTTCCCAGGGCCTACCGTGGAAGATTTTGTGGAGTTTGTTGCTGAAACCTAAGAAAGGCTCAGAAAGGTCAAGAGAAGATCGAGTATACATTGAACAAGTTAGACCGAGAGAAATTGGGACTCTTCAGGCTAAAAACAGGAAAGTCAACAGAGAGCTAATAGTACCAATAATAGCAGTTTATTAGGAGCTTCTTGGATACTGTTTAATTCTTTATAAGCGTCCTCTGAAAAATGTGCTCTTACTGCTCCTGTTTTACAGCAAGGGGGGCCGATACTCATGTTGAGTAATTTGCATAATGCTACACAGCAACTAGGTAGTAAAACTGAGAGTTGATCTCTGTCTGCCTGGCTGGCACCCATCATCAACCTCTGTGCTGTACTCTCTGCTAGGGGCTTAGGCACTGGATCTCAGCATAGTAGAGTAGGGAGATACTCTTTTTTTTTTCAAAAACAAGAATCAGTGTTTATTATCTCATCATTTCAGAGGGTAAGGATTTGGGAATGGTTTAGCTGGGATCGCTCATGAGATTGCAGTCAAAACATTGGCTGGATGGCAGTCATCTGAAGGCTGGACTGAGGCTGGAGGCTCCATTTCCTAGGTGGCCCATTCTCATGACTGGCATGTGGTGCTGTTGTCGAAGGGCCTCAGTTCTTTCCCGGACTCCTGGACTTTTGGAGGATCTAGTTTTCAGATGACAGTGTTATTTTGTAGAAATATTTGGAATTTACCAAGCTCTTTCAGTGAAACTGACTAAAAATAGCAACAGACTTAAAAGGACTCGGAAAGATCCATTTCAGGGAAGAGTGGTTAAAGAAAAATAGAGATGCTTAGGAGAACTTGAAAACCTGAAGGGCAACTGGTTTCAATCTTATGATAATAGATCCTTGAATTGATCTAGACTGTTTGCTAAGTTCTTAAAGGGCTGTGTCTGTTTCTTAGAGAGATTTGGGGCAGGCTGTTTTAGTGGGGGTGGTTGTTTCTAGGAAGTACTCACAGCGGTACTTATTTATACATACCATGCCTTGTTGTAGAAAACCAGTGAGATCGCTTGTAATAATACAGTGGCAACTAAGAGATAAAATAAAGTGGCGGTTTGATGGGTGGTGGGTGGGGAGGGAGGTTGGAACATGTGGCACTTTCTGGTCTGGCCTGGCTTTGTAAGATGTGGGGAGGCATGGAAGGACTTTGTACCCTTTGAAAATCCTCATAAACGCTGCTCTCTCTTGGTAATTATTGAACAGCCCTGAGCTGGAGGTTATAGCTCCTGAGCAGTAACTGGATGGAAGCCATTTGGTGTGGCCACGCCTGCTGGTGGGGGTTGGTGGGAGCAGGGTGGTGGGGGAGGGTTGTGGCAGTCTCCAGCCCGCCTAGGGCTTGGGGCTTCTGCCTCGTGTCCGTTTGTTGTTTTTCTGCTGTGGTTTGCCGACTCTTTCTGTTTGCCCACAGGGTTGAATTTGCCTAGTGTTGTAGGGGACTGGGTGACTCTGAGCTGCCTTCTTACCTCAGCCATAGAGCCAGTTATTGACTGGTCTCTCCTTTCCGGAGGAACCCAGGGCTATGTGACTGGGGGCGGACTTACCTGTATTGAACTTACTTTAAAAATGTTTTATCTTCTGCATCCGTGGAAGTTTTGTTGCCCTTGTCTAGCTTGGATTAATATTTAGTCTATAGGCACAGACCTGATCATCTACATTTGTCCTCTTACAGCACTAAATTATGTTTTCTACCTTTATCTTGCATCTACCTACCACTCCAGCATTTCATTAAAAAAAATAATAATAATAATAAGGGAGAAATGTGGGATTCACATATAAATCAAGTATAAAAATCAAACGAATAATCATATCTGACTTGAGTGTTGATAGTTCATGATGTGTGATCAAAACCGAAAGTTTCTGTGATATGACTGCCCTTGCACTGTTCACCATGCAAGAACTTATTCACTATGTAAGAACTTGTTCACCATGTAAGAACTTGTTTGTTATGCTTCAGAAGATTGGAGACTGTTGAGATATAGGCTTGGGGTTGATTAATGATTATACATTGAGTCCCCTATACAGAATTTTATTGTTAACAACCATTTGATCAATAAATATGAGAGATGCCCTCTCAAAAAAAAAGAAGTTTTCTTATTTCAAAGTGAAACATTTTCAGGAATGAAAAACAACACTACTTTTTAACTCAAGTAAAAAGAATAAGCCCCTATAATCCTTCACCTGGAGGTGACTCCTCATGACATTTCCTCAGGGTCTCATGGCCTATTTTCCCTTTGCACCATTCTTGGTTCTCTCTGTGGGTAGGGGGATTCTGCTCAGGATAACTTCTTTTGTATGCCAACAGTATCTCCACTTTTTTTTATGGTCTGGCCAGTACAAGCAAACAAATCATAACATAGAAATTATGTAGCTAACGTAATGATACAAAATGTTTAGAAAAAAGCACAGCCCTTCCCACCAGCCTAATATAACAGTGATGACAAGGGACACATATTCCATGTCTTCTTCTTTCTGTGTCACAGGACAAATTTGAAGATACTGCCAGGGATGCCAGGGTAGGTTAAATGAAAGCTGATAACTTGGAGAATCTTACATTGGGGTGCATTTGCCTTAGTCTGTCCCTGTTGCCTTTTGTGTCCAACAGTGGAGAACACGCAGCTGACCCTGAACCTGCAGACGGAGAACAAAGGCGGTGTTGTCTCCGGTGGTGAGCTGACAATTTTCCTGGACGGGCCGACTGTTGATCTGGGAAGCGTGCCTAATGGCAGTGCCGTGACAGACGGTGAGTGCCGCCCTGTTCCCCAGGGCTGTGCAGGGCCGAGGAGGGGCTGGGGAGGGCAGGCAGGGGTGCCCAGAGCTTGGTTCTCTGCTAGGTGCCTGCCTTTGGGTAACGCTCAGCCAGCCCTGGCCCATAATCAGCCCTGATTCTTCTTAGCACCCTTAGTATGATCAAAAGCATGGCATGATTTTTTCAGGGACCACCTTCTGATAAAGGACCAAAATAAATGTCAAGTCTTTGCAAGTGTGTTGTTGCTTGGTTTGAGAGCAGAGAAAAATGTCTTTTCATTCCACATGGACTTTGGTAAATAAAATGTCTATGAAATGTTACTTGGGCCCATTTTTGTTTTTCCCAATACTGTTAAACTTTCTGGGTAGGTTGAGGGTACCTTTTAAGATGGGACTGGCTGGGAAAGGGGACTGTGTGTCTTAGAGGGTCACACTAGCAAAATCTGACAGAAGCAGGGAAATTGGAGAGTGTCTCCTGCTCTGACCTGAGTGTGGGCAGATTTTTTCTTTTGATCTAGTCTGAAATTTGTCACCATTGGATCTAGCAGGAAATTATTTCATCAAGTCTGAGGTCTGAAATGGGTTGGGTTTCTCCATAATTTTTCTCATTAAATGTGGTGTAACTATGGCACTTTCCAGACCTCAAGCAAGCTTTCTGTAGCTTCAAGGGGGTGAAATTTGAATTCTGATTCAAGGGCAGTCAGTTGGAATCGCAGGCATTGGGGGGGCCTTGACTTGAGAATCCTCCCTCAGCTGGGCTGAGTGGTGCTCAGGCTACTTTTGTGGACGTATCTTTGCTCCTTAAGCACATGTATCCATAATCGGGTGCCTGGTATGTACCAGACCTTGGATCTGTGCTAGCCAGATGGCAGGGGCAAGACTCATAGGGTCTCTTCTCCCAGGAGCTTACGATTTGCTTGACGGGGCAGGGGTGGTAGGCATCGAACAAGTGAATGCACAATTATGTAACTGTAATTGTGATGAATGCTCTGAATGAAAAGTGCTGGGTGCCGTGAGATCCTTGTACTTTAGGGAGAACTCGCTTAAACTTGGGGCAAGGGAACATTTCCCCAAGGAGGCTGAGACCTGTGGGAATATGAGGGGTTTAGGTAGGCCAAGGTGGGGATGTGGGGTGAAGGGTGCCTGAGTAAAAGGTGGAGGATGCCCAGTGCAGGCTCTGAGGTGGGAGCAGGCGGCCAGGGTGCCTGGATCGTGGGGAGCAAGAAGGGGAGTGGTGGGAGGTGAGGCCCCAGAGGCAGGTCAGCTCAGATCACACGGCCTCGAAAGCCTTGGTAAGGATTTTGAACCTCATCCTAAGAAGTAGAAAGCTGTTGAAGGGGTTATAGCCAAAGAGTGTCCTGATTTGATCTAAATGGAATCTGATTTGGCTCTTTAAAGCTCTGGTGTGATAGGGAGAAATGACTCAAGGCTGTGTTGCCACGTTGCATGGTCAGGATCTCTTCTCTCACGTGCATGGCGGTCACTGGAGGTCATTTAGTGTATAAGGCAACAAGCCAGTAAGGGCCTTCGACACTCCTGAAGGTCTCGGAGAAGAAGAGCTGTTTGCAGGTTTGAGTCTCTTTGTTCTGGGGTGTCCATGAGATGTCGGCTGCTCACCCTGTCCCTTCTCATGCTGGTGACTGCAGCTTGCTAAACCATCCTGTCCCACCATGTAACCAGTACACAGAGAGAGCTTGTTGCTGTAGCTACATCTCAAACAAGGGTTGAGCTTCTCACGTGTCTGTCTTTCCTTGTGATGCATTCCTTTCTAGGATCACAGGCACCTTCGAGAGAATCCAGTGGGGCAGCTGTCACTTCAGAGAGCCGGCACCAAGTCCCCAGCACAAACTGCTTTGGTGGGAGATCCCGGTAAGACCCCTGCGTGGATGAGGGGGAGTCGAGAAGATGCTTGCAGCTGTTGAAAACACACTGGGAAGTGGCAAGGAAGAGTATGTGTTAGAAACTGTTGGAAATTTTCAGAGAGGTTGTAACTGATGCAGTATATTTAGGAGTCCCTTTGGGGAGTAAGTGAATAACTAGTAAAAAATCTTCCCAAACAAATCCCACAGGTTGGGAATAGTGCTTTGTGAAATAGGGTATGATTTCAGTCAATACCCGTGGCATCTGGAAAGATCCCTTGAGGACAGGTGTTAGTCTCTCTTGATTTGGTTGTTTTGAGGGTTTGTGAGGTTTCACTGCCTTGCAGGTGTAAAGAGCAAGAGAGAATCGGTCATTTGGATCTTTTGTCTATAGTGGGATCTTATCCACTCTTTGAGAATAATCAGGTTAAAACTTCTCTAACTAATGTGCCATCTGGTCTGCCCCATGGAAACCGGCATGGTATTACCACCAGCAGTTCATGTGGTATGTAGTGACTGTAGTGTCATGTAGAGGTGCCATCTCCTAGTTCTCTTTTCTCTAAGCTTCTGCAAACGTGTTACCTCATACCCTGAAGATTATGTGTGTTTTTCTGTGACTTGCTAGGTGAGTTGCAAGTTGGGACAAATAGTCTAGTCTCACGGGGTAAGGACCAACAATATAATTGGCATATCTTATGTCAATAGAGACTGATAGACACCTATGAACTAGAGGAAACAGAATCTATAGCTGGCAGAGAGGAATACCTCAGCATTTCACTTTCTGAGAAGGATGTCTCAGCGTTGGCAGTAGCAGCCGCCATCTTGGTCTTTTAGCCAACTTTGGAAAGTTTGCATCAGACACAACTGATGTCAGTTATGTCAGGGCTGGAAGTCAGAATCCAGCTGTTAACAGGTTTGGAATTAGGTTCTTAACCTGTTTATTGTTCTCTGAAGTTCTCAGGTTGATAGACCTTGAAATTCATGTATCCTGACAGGCCTTCTTTGCTACTTTTCATATCAAGGATTGCTGTCTGTTGAAGCAGCGCCCAGACTTGAGGGGAAAGTCGGAAGCATTGTTGCCTGTAACACATGGCAGCCATTCAGTGTTGGGTAGTTGTTGGTGGGCAAAGTGCCTTCCAGGCGGTTTAGGCTGTGTGGGAGTCCTCCTCCATCTACCTTATCCACATGTGGCCTCTGAGTTTTCACAGGCTTCTGCCATCAGTGTATTTATTCTGTCTTCACCTGGAACCTACTGCTGTTCAGCAGCAAACACGTTTGAAAGTATCACCGGAAGACAGGATCTTCTGTGTTCCTAAGAACCCCTTTTCCCAATTGCTGCTGCTTTTAAGAAGGTCAGTGTGCACATGCAGGTGGTAATAGGGTTGTTGACAGAGTATAGGGCTTTGGAATCAGAAGATGTGGATTGAGTCCTGCTGTGTGGTATTGGACAGGTCACCAGACCTCTCAGTGCCTCAGTTTTTTTCAGGTGTAAAATGGGGATATCACCTGCCTCACTGGGCCATCGAAAGAATTAACTGAGATGAGTCATGCCAGTCTGAAGGCCTCATACACCGGGAGTGCTCAGTGAATGTGACAGGGAGACTTTGCTCTGGAGGCTGTCTGTTGCACCCCTTCCTGCACCCCCAAACTTGGGAAATGGGGCATTCTGATGAATTCACATCAAGGACTGTAGTTAGTGTGATGAGTCAAACCTTCAGGATCAAGGATAATCCTCTGCTATCCATGGTTTCCTGAGGCAGACAGAATGATGGGCTTCTGCCTGCTGCCTCCCAGACTAAATACGTAGCTTTTGCTGTCTAAAGGGTAGTTTTTCTTGGATGTGGGTGCTCTTCCCTGTTATCAAAGGTGCTCTGACATGAAGGTGAAGATTGCAATCTCAAAGTAGCCTTTTCCTCCCTTTTCCCCTGCTTAAGCCACAAAACTGTAATCATATAAGGGTTTATCTTTTTTTTTATTAAGGTATAATTGATATACACTCTCATGAAGGTTTCACATGGAAAAATAATGTGGTTACTACATTTACCCATATTATCAAGTCCCCACCCATACCCCAATGCAGTCACTGTCCATCAGTGTAGTAAGGTGCCACAGATCCACTATGTGAATATAAGGGCTTATCTTAAGGGTTTGTCTACCCACATTCATCCAGCAAGGGCACCATTCCCTTGCTAATAAGCAAGGTCTCAATTTCTCTCTCTCAGTGGCATCTTGTCCACTCTTTGAGAATAATCAGGTAAGACTTCCATAGCTTTTTTACCATCTGCTCTGTCACATGGAAACCAGCATGGAATTGCCACAAACAATTCATGATGCATAAATTTATTTGTAAACGGATTGTATTAGTATGCAGTCAGTGGGTCTGGTTTAGTAAAGAAAGAGTTCATATCATAAATAATTGTGTAGTCCTACAGTGAAACACTGTCCCATAATAAAAGTGGATGAAAGATAGTTACATCAGTTGGTAGAATCTCACAAACATAATGTTGAACAAAAGAAGCAGACCACAGAAAAAAATATATAGTACAGTATGATTTACATGAAGGTAAAAAATGTAAACCAAAACCATACATGGATTTTTATTTACAGATACCTGCATAGGGAGTAAAATTATATAAAATGGAAGGGGCTAATTAAGTGTGAATTCAGGAGCATGGTTAGCACTGGGGGGATGGACATGGGTATCATGAGGAAAAAGCACTTAGAAACTTCTAGGTCCTGGGAATATCATTTCTTAGCCTGGGTGGTGGGTCTCTGAGTGTTCATTTCATTATTCTTCTTTAAACTGAATATGCAGTTAATAAATCCTTTTGTTTACATGGTGTATTTCACAATAACAAATTAAAAACTATCATCTACCAACCTAAGAAAACTGAGTAAGTGACGGTAGTAGGTTGGAGAAGTTGTTTGCTGTATTAAGGCAGGCAGATTTCAGAATTTAGGATTTCTCCAGGCTGGACAATGGCCACTTACTTCCGTTCTGTCTGGTCTGTCAATCTAACAGTGTAGCAAATGATTCTAAGTTACTGCTGTACATTGGCCTTGTAGGTCCCGTTCCTGTCACTTAGAAATCTTAGGCCTGAGAATTTAGTTGGAGTTGGGCAGTGAGTTCCAGATGCACACTGGTCACTGCCAGGTAATGTGTTAGAACAGCACTAATCTTGGTGGCCTGAGACGGCTGGTCTACCACTGTTTGGTGTTAGACTGCAGTGGGGACAATGACGTGGCATACCCAGGATTCTGTCAGTGTGTCATCCTGCCCTGTGTCCTCAGCCAGTGCCTCTTATCCCAGGGTAACTGTGGAGAATGCCTGGTGCCCTGTGGCCCCTGGGAGCATGTGTGCTAGTTGGGCACAGGGAGTACTTACCACACCCTTTAATAATCCCCTGGTGTTTATTTTGCTGGAATGAGGGCTGGCTTTGGGAACCGTGCCTGAGTCAGTTCAGGTTTTGCAGATCTGCTGTGTACCTGGTATTGTGCACAGGCCTGGCCGGAAGCATGGCTCTACCTTCCACACCGAGTTCACAGGGCTTTGTGATGTCCAAGATGTATGTAAAACAGGGAAATAAAACTGTGAGCATTTTGGGGAGCTCAGAGAGAGAAGAAATCAGTGTGAGGAGAAGGAACGGCTGAGGAGAGGGTGGGCGGGAGCTGGCAGACTGTTGTCCGTAGTCCAGTGGTTCAGTATAGTATCTTAGGGACGAACTAGTGAGGGAGCTAAGGAGTGACTTAGAGAAGCAAACAGTGGGGGGTATATGGAGGGAAAAGAGAACCCAGCAGAGGGGCTCTGCAATGGTCCCGGCACCTCTCTTCATGGTTAGAAGGGGAGCAAATTAGGATGTCTGAGTCCCCCTGTGGTTTGCTGATTCTTGGTCACCTGTGACTTTCCCCCCTCCTCAGCTGTTATGTGAACTCAGGGAGTTAGGGCGAAAGCAGCTCGAACCCCGTAGGACAGTCTGCGGGTGGAGCTGCTCCTCCCAGCACAGCCTTCGGGTTTCTTCTGACTTGAATACCCAGCTCCTCAGTCAAGAATCCCTGTTGATTTTCCACAGTCGTGCAAGGAAACAGTGCAAAAAAAAAAGGAAGAACGCATTGAATTTGCTTTTAGGTTCATGAAGTTTTTCAGTAGTAGGTCTGAAAACTGTAAAAGGGATCTTGGTGAACAAGCTGAATATGGGGGATCACACAGCTTTCCTTTATTTTGTATGTTTGTGTTTGTTATTTTTATGTGTGTATGATGTTATTTGGTACAAGAGTATAGTGAGTGTGCATTGTGTTCGGTGTGAGGGGCTGGAGGCTTTGAATTTGCTCTGCATCTATGCTCAGCTGGGAGTATTGGCCAGTGTTGGTCAAAACCTACCTCTTAAGCACCCCGCTGTGATTCTTTCACATGTGAAATTTCAGAACCTCTAATGATAGAGTTTTCATCTACCCTCCTTTCCTCGCTCCCCTTTTTCCTACTCTGATGACAACATATCAAATTTATTGACTCCCTTGCCTTGGCATTAATGACCTCTGAAGATTTAAAAGAGCTGTAATCTCAGAAACTTACAAAGCCCCAAGGTCTCTGGTGAGCTCTAAATAGCTCATCAGCTGTGTCTGCAGACAGCCTAGCCCAGAAAGGAAAGAAAAATAAACTCAGCTGGGCATGAGTCTGCTGGGAACACTGCTGGGAGTCCTGGGAGGGCAGGGTGGGTTGGGGAGCAAGCCTAATGGAGAAAGAGGGACAGAATGGAGGGGAGCTGAGCCTTCGGGCATGGGGCCATTCTCTGAGTGGCAGAGGTTGGCCACTGCCACCTCTCCTTCAGCTGAAATGACCAAAGACTACTGGATTTGGAATTTTGGTTATTTGGAGGTGTTACCCTGTCAGCATGAAATTGAATTGAGCACCTTCACGACTTCCATTCAGTCCTCCCACCCAACAGCTTTTACCTAACATCTGGCTATATCCTCATTACAGTTGCTGGGGGGATAAAAATGAGTAAGAAAAGG